CTGTTACTGACTACAACAACATCTCCTGATTTATAGTTTCTCTATTATTTGAACACATAGTTTAAATTGTAATACAGCAAATGTCAGCTTATCCTCTGTCTTGGTTTTATAAACAGAGGACGACAAAACCGGGTGCTGCAACAAGTGCAGATATAAAACCAAGCTAAATGTTTCAGCAGTCAGTGTCAGTGGAAAATAAATAGATTGTGTCAAGCAACACAAATCAAACAAAATGCATATGTGATGTCATTTTCACCGAAACTGAAATCAACAGTTTCTAATTAAAACTTGAAGATTTCAGGTCACTATAATTTGTTTTATTCAAGCAATAATCCATGGGCTCATATAAGCATCCTTTAGCCAGGTGATGCATTAGAATCCTTTATTTGATCAAAAGAAAAAAGGGAGCCTGAAATTATATAATAAATAAAAAGAAATGTAATGATTAGGTCCTGCAGGGTGAAATGCAATACAAGGCTGATCGGGTCAAGTTTGAGCGTGGGGACAGCTGTCAATCAAAACCCAAGAAAAAAAAAGACAGATAATGTCTAAGCACAATTTGTTCCACGCAACTGGTATAAATTTTTTTTCTTTCCAAATGATATTTATCCACAAAGTCAGGCATCAGGACATTATAAACAACAGTCAGTGCGGAGAATTTAATTATTCTGGCAGGTTTTATGCAGGTTGTTTAGAGCGTTTAATAAATTTACGAGCGTTTCATGGCTGACATTTCGTTTACACGAACATAAACGATGTAAAGACGTGAATTTGTAACGCGGACACCGCAGTGTGTAACATTCAGACCGGTAACATTTTTTTTCAGCACATATGCGGTGACAGCTGAGCTAACACGGGCTGCAGTGAGCCGACCAAGCCCTTCTCTCCCTCCGCTTGTTTTCTGACAGCTACCAGCGAAATAACACACGCCCTGTGAACAACAAACCTCGCTTAATTAGATTTTAGCCTGGCTGCGATAACAATTAAAGAGGCCGCAGGCATTTTAAGTTACCTTGACGGTAAAAACCTCCGGGGATAAGCAGTTTGCGTTACCCGTCCCGACCCGGTGAGGTCTCCCTTGGACGCAAAATAATCATGTCAGCCTTCTCCTCTCGTCATCCTCCGTCTTCTTCGCTGGTATTTTTAGCAGTCATGCTAGAAGGGTTGAAGACTGCTTCAGCGCCTGCGCGTGTCTCGGAGGGACGCCGTTTTTTAAAAGCTGTTGATGCAAAGTAAACATGTACAAATTCCTATCTCTTTGTTTAAATTATATATAAAACACGTGCCCAGAAAACAAAACACAAAGACGCATTTTATTTTGCAGCCTTGGGTAGCTTGTAAAGTTTGATGATGTTGCATTATGGGAAATGCAGTTCAGTTTGGTCAAGGACTTCACAACAGATACTGTATGTCACAATATTACACAGTATCAACATAATATTTTTTTTCTTTTTTTTTTCAAACTTTTATTTCGAACAGACATTAAAACAATTAAAAAGAAAAGAAAATAGAATGAAACAAACTTAAGAAATAAAATGTAATACAAATTATTTTGCCC